ATTTCTACTTTAAAAGCTCTAACAAAATTAATGTAGAGATTATAAGATAATTATATTATCTTAAAAAAAATAGTCGATATTTTTAGCCCAGTCTAATAAAAAATAATAAAGAGAATTATTTTTTATTAGACGGACAATTTTTTTGTAAAGAATATCGAAAATATTTTTTGGGGTGAAAAAAAAATTATTGTGAAAGTTGAGTGAGTCCATAATATTAATAATAAGAGGGCCTCTTAAAGAGGCATGCCTCTTAATGCATATCATCGCAATTTTAGATTTTTTTTCACAATAATTTTTTTTTCACCCCAAACAATACTTTCGATATAATTTACAAAAAAAATAGTCGATTTTTTGACCCAGTCTATTTTTTATAATAATTAGATAATATTAAAAGTTTTGTGTTTTTTTTTGGTTCCCAATGTAACTACTGTACTGTGTGTTTATAAATTAATAATATTAAAATTCAGTCAAATTATAATTTGTGAGTATACTCACAATTCTCACAACAAACAACCTGGGCCACAGAGGTGTCAAGAAGAGACTTATTTAGCATAAAGCTTTATTAAATAAGAGCGAAAAGTGCGGTGTAGAAAGGGGTGTAGCTCGTTCCGCAAGTGGGACAGAACGCTAAGGTCGCTCCCGCCGAGGATATTTGGGTGAGCGCCATTATTTTAAAAGTTAATATTTTGCGTATCCGCAGTGCTGGATCCAGCACCCTGTGCTGAAAAAAATGAAAAAATGCGCTGATTTCAGCTGGATTGCTGGATGAGGCATCCAGCAATTGCAATCACTAATAAGTAGGTAGGTATATTACAATAGCTGTAAGATTCCAAAATTCCGGGATTCCATACGAAATCATATTCCAAATATTCCGGGATTCAAAGTCCCAAACCTGGATTTTAAAATCGCATTTAACAGACATGACCTACGTTATTTTGCTTTCAAAAATAAACAAAACCAAAAAGGCCTCTATCCAATTAGAAAAAGCATGTAAAAAAGATTATTTAAAATTAAAAATAAAGGACCAAATCTACTAAAATAAAATTTTATTATTTCGGGACTAATCCGGGGATCCCGGGATTGGGTTGCCTTTGTCCCAAAAATCACAATATTCAGAAAAAAGTCCCTAATAGCTATAAAAGGTAAATATTTCACCTATTTCTATTAGAAATTTTCTAAATATATTTACCCAAAACAAATCTTGAAATAATCACCAAAATAAAATATAATTTTTAGTTATATTTCATCCAAGGAGCTAAAACTAAAACCAACAATCCATCACAAAATCTTTAAAACCAAAAAAAAATAAATTTTGAGCACAATTAATATATTTTAAGATAAATTTTACAAAAAATTGTGTTTAAATCAAGAGCGAATTTACAGAGCGGGATTTCTATTACCTATAGGTATACCTACTTCCGTTTTATATTTTTTGACGAATTAGGTAGTACAATTATTTTAAAGGTTAATTAATTAATTATTAAATCATAATTCAATATAATTTACATGGATTTATTAATCCAATCATTCTGTTTTAATTTCCTTAAATAAGATGATTTATTTTGAATATTGCCCACTAAGCAAGAAACGTTTAAATAACGTTGGTCAACGTTAGCAGAGAGTATCAAAATGAACGTTACTTTTTATTGTTAAACTGACGTTCATACAATTCAGTAAAGTAATGGTGTTTTCGAACACATTGCCAGTGGGTTGTGTCAACGTTGATAATGTAACGTTTTTTCGAAAACGTTGAGTAACTGTTAATAGTGTAGTGGTACAGCAATGTTATCCATTGCTGCGTTAGGAGAACGAATTAATTACAACGTTAAATCTTGTGCCATTAAGGTAACGTTAAATGTTATATGTACGTGAACGTTTCATATGACTACGTTAAGATAACAACACAGAAGTTCTGTGACAGAACATAACCTCAAAGCGCAGTCTATCGTTAGCGTTCATAATAGATGCAGTGAAATTTTTACTAAAATAATTAATGGGAAGTGCAATCAGTGTTATTGGTTTTTATGTTTCAAATCCACGTTTTAATAGATGTGGAAATTTTGGTAGGTAAGTGCCTAAATATGTATATATTAAAAACTATTGTAAACACTTTGCCTCTGTGCTTTGCCGGCTCGTTCAGTAAATACTATTTAGCTAAATAGCATAACAAAATGGCGATGGCGTCTCAATCTCAATTAATTTGCTTTAACATCAATTGTAGTCTTAATAATTATCTTTATATTATCCTTATAAGGTTCATTCAAAGATAATTATTAACACTACAATTTATGTTAAAGCAAATTAATTGAGATTGCAAATTATAATTTGATATTTATACCTATATTTACAAAAATTTATATTCTAGCGATTTTAAATATTTCATTCTTTATTTTTAACGGGTTTAGGTACTTTTTCATAAAAAATAGTTTAAAAAAATTAAATAGGTACCTAAGTACCTGTTTAACTTTCTTATTTTGTGTAATATTTTCTTATCAGTGATACCTACTATGCTAAGGCTTAGAAGCTAAGCACCTTTACTTAATATGTTTTAACTTGCATCAAGTCTGAAATTGCTATGTTTAGTTTTAGATCTCTGCTTATTATCGTTACCAGGAAGGAGTTAGTTTAAGCCAAAATTAACATACATTTTTTATCCAAAAGCAACAAAGGCATGGGCAAGGGCAAGGACAAAAACAAGTGCAACAACAACAAAGTCATTCAACAGCAGGCTTAGAAGCTAAGCACCTTTACTTAATATGTTTTAACTTGCATCAAGTCTGAAATTGCTATGTTTAGTTTTAGATCTCTGCTTATTATCGTTACCAGGAAGGAGTTAGTTTAAGCCAAAATTAACATAGGTACATTTTTTATCCAAAAGCAACAAAGGCATGGGCAAGGGCAAGGACAAAAACAAGTGCAACAACAACAAAGTATAAGCTAATATATATTACATTTAAGCTAATATTCATTATATTTAAGTTATATTTAGTTAAATTTAATTGAATTGTTTAATAAGGTGGATGTATCCAGCATTTAATGTAATGTAACTTAATGTAGGTATGTTGGTAAGCATGCGCAATGCAGGCGTGTTGGTGTTTTTATACCAATATTGGCATTATTAAGATTGCGATTTAACGTATCTATACTTCTGTCAATGGTTACGAACGCCTGACAGTGCACTATTTTCAAAAAGATTTACTATTCTAGGTTAGGTTTGTCAGGAGCAACCTCGTAAATATATGTAAATGCGCCAAACCTAGGTTGGTGGCAGCTGCCACCTATCGCCCTCGACCAGTGGCGGCTGGTGGATTTTGGGCACCCCATATCTCAGTTATTAGACATGGGACCCACATCAAATTTATATGAGTTTATAATGACACTATATAGACAAGTTCTGCGCAAGCAGAATTTAAATTAAAGTTTGCGAAAAAAAGTTAGTTTTTAAGTGCAACCCCCAGTCTCCTGCCCCTCCAAATTAAGATAATTCAAATTAAAGTGATACAATATTTAATTCACTGAAGTTTATCGATAAATTTCAAATTTTATTAAAAAAATTCAAGAATTACAGGTTTTATACCATTTATAATTTTTATTATTTCTTTTACTAAATTTTAAAAAATTTGAAATGGTATAAAATCTGTAATACTTAAATTTTTTTAATAAAATTTGAAATTTGTCGATAAACTTCAGTGAATTAAATATTGTACCACTTTAATTTGAATTATCTTAATTTGGAGGGGCAGGAGGCTGGGGGTTGCACTTAATGTTCCAAGTTTGGTCAAAATCGCTAATGTCGAGGGCGACAGGTGGCAGCTGTTCAGTTGTATAATACAACTTGTATTATACAACTTGTATATTGGTATATATACGAGGTATATACCGGACATATTGAAATTTTTAATTTTAATTTAGATTTGTTTATTTCTGTTAGGTATATACCTCGTGGCGCCTTTTGCGTCAATAGCTTTATTGAAGTATTAATTCAGAAATATTTAAGTTAACAGAAATAAACAAATCTAAACTAAAATTAAAAATGTCAATATGTCCGCAAGAACAATTATTTTAGAGTCATTGATCTAAAATTATCGTTCTTGTCAGCTTAAGCTAAATTTCTTTTTTTTTGCAGGTGGTGTTGAACTTAGCTATCCGGAAGAATCTGCTATGGAGTGGTTTCGTCAAGGCCATCAACGGGTTTTGAAAAAATTATAAAAGAAGTTTTTTACAAATAATGTCGAAAGAAGTAAAAATAACAAGTTCTTTTTAAATCTATATCTTTGTTTGTCTTTCCCGCCAAGAATTGGCATCCAGAGCTGCGTTAATAAAACAATTAATTTCAACGTTTTATTAACGTTTATTTAAAAACAGTAAATTAACGTTTAACTTTAACGTTACGCTAACGTATCAGTTAATAGCACCTGTACGGCACGGTTTAACGTTGTTTCAACGTTGACGTTGCAATGTAACATTGAAACGTTCATGAGGCGGACATTAACCGTTGTTGTAATGTTTAAGTGACGTTAATGTTACCCCCCAGTTAACGTTACAGCGTTACTGTTAACATCGCTGCAACGTTCGCCCAACAGTATTTTGCTTAGTGGGTGATCTGATTTGGAAAGCGCATCAATTTCCAAAACAAAATCTGTTTCCAATTTCTCGATATCCAGGATTATTTTTTTTATCATGATTATCATCGAAAAATCAAGCAGATTATCGGCAATCCCACCCAAAACCAAAACATATCCTCTTTCAAAACATTTTCAAACCATCTCTGTCATGCATCTTCGTATTCTGAACCTATCAAAACTTGCACATAACAACAAATTAACACCTAACAACAAAACACTCGAAACATTACGTGCCAACCACTTGTTCCCATTGGCCGAAACCGACCATAAGCCACTCCCCAAAAGTCCTGGTAACCTGATGGAGCCCCTCCCACAAAGCTTTCTAATATAGGGAACTTGTTTACATTTGGCAGTTGCTCAGCAAGCGCGAGAAGGCGAGCGTCGTGTGTCGAACCGTTTCGTTTTTTTGAAAAGTCCACAATCAAATACGCACAGCTACGCGATTTTTAGCGCTAAAGGGTTATGTCACATTTAAATTTAGAAGCGAATGAGGTTTAATTTTAGATGAACTTGGTTGGTGTTATTGTTTTTAAGCAGTGATCTGGTGGTGTGTGGATGTTCTAGTGATTTATTGGTTTAACCCTACCGGATTACAACCTACGGTAAGTTGATCCAAGTTTGAAATTCGGATATAAATATTCGATCATGTGCAAATCATTGAGCTGTCGGATGGGCTTTATTTTGGGTAGTGGAAAATAATTATGTCAATCAATGTAAAATGTTTAGTTTGCCACGTGCATTTTATCTATCTTGCATAAATAGTTTAAAAGCTTCTGTTAACGTTAATGCAGTTCTATTAACTTAAAGTTGTGATAAAAACACTCTCCGACGTAAGCAGTCTAAAATAATTTCATAACATTTCTGCTCAGAAGTAGGTACTTCAAGGTTTTTAAAAAGCGTTCAAATGTATCAAAGTTTCAATTTCCTTATTATTAAATCATTTTACCAAAATTTCCGGTTTTCAACTTGTTTGGATTATTTTTTATAAGATATACTTTACTTGATGTTACATAGATGAAGCTTCTTCTATTTATGTTTATATTTTAATGGTCTACAAGAGAAACCCTGAGATATACCTACAATGGTTGCAACCAATTTTAAAATATGCATAGAAACATGATAAACCATATATTTTAGTTATCCATAAATAACTGCTAATGATGGATTTTCTAACAAAGCTATAAATGAAACAAAGTATTGGCTAAAATCCAAACGATTGTAATAGTGACATACATTTAACAGTTATTAGTGTATTAAATGGATAAAATTGAAATGAACACCACAGAAATAATATACCTAGTTTTGTGTTTACCGGTTTAGGATTTCACAATAGAACAGGTATAGTGTAATTTAAGCCTATATTTTTGTTTCCTTAATTTTATTAAAAGTGATGTCTTTTATAAGAAATATCGTATGTAAAAAAGAACACTGAAAATATGTTTAGAATCAAGGATTGATTTAAAACCAATATTTTAATTTGGCTATGATTAAAAGCTAGGTTCAACATTATTTAGGTGCAACAGTATGAAAGTCCCTATTTTAAGTTAATTTAAAACCATAAACATTACAATTTTGCATTGATTTGTAAGACATCTCCTGTATATTTTAAAATATTACTGGATGGAAACAAAAATCCTCTTTCCAACCAAGTGCGATTTTTCTTAACTTATTTAAGTCCAAAGGTAATTTTTACAAAATTGGACTTTTTTTCACCTTCTAAATGATGTTTTCTAATATTGTTCCTATTGTTCTAGAATTGGTCTTGAAACTTCTTCTTTGCGTGCATGATGACAGTAAAATAACTCAGCTTGTCTCGTCTCCATTGGACAGCTGCACCAACAAAGCAGCTAAACTAAAAGAGAATGTTGTCGGCGGGGCTTGGTTACGGGGTCCCTGTGACGAACACCGTCACCGGCACCACGCCCCCATACAGCCCTCCGCCCCCGGCCAGACACAGTCCCCTGCCGAGCTTCGGATTCACGCAGGAACAAGTCGCGTGCGTTTGCGAGGTGAGTCAATTTAAAGGGATTACGTGTGGAAATGTGTTTTGGGGCGGTTTGCGATGATGGGAGCCCGGGGGACGATAATATAAATCAGAAAATGTCAAAATTTAAATTTTACAATTTATAAAATAAGATTTTCATTTCTGTCATTTTAAAATGTTACTGCATATCGTTATTATAAAATGTTTTACTAAAAAATATACAATCAAAATAGTAAAAAAAAACAACGTACCTACCTATACGTTGTTTTTTTATCTATAGGTACCAACACTTTACTCTCTAAAAATGAAGTTATAGTTATAGTTATTAGTGGCTGCTTTTTCACTTGTACCATGATTAACCATGGGATACCATTGTATTCCAAAATTTAACAGCCAATTCTTGTGCAAAATTGTCCCCTGAATCCGAAAATACAATCAAAAGTTAAAAAAGTGGAACAGTTTTTGAGATATTGTCAATTCCAAATTAAATGGAAAATTGACTATATCTCAAAAACTGTTCTACTTTTTTAACTTTTGATTGTATTTTAGGTTTCAGGGGACAATTTTACATAAGAATTGGCTGTTAAATTTTGGGGGTACTGTGGTATTCCATGGTTAACCATGGTACAAGTGAAAAAGCAGCCACTAATAACTATTCAATTAGTCATTTTTGACTAATTCATTTTTAGAGAGTATATTTATAATGTATACATTATAATTTGGTAGGTTTATGCCATCAATATTATATTTTATCATATAATATGGTGTAGTATGAAATATTAAATATTTCCTTTATCAGTCAGGTACAATTTACTAAAAAACATTTGTATTTTTTTATAAAGGTAATTTTATATACCTCTAGGTATACATATGATAATGCAATCATTATCGTTTTATATAAAAAAGTTTTAAATTTTCCAAATGCACTGCCTTAGTTAAAAAATCTATCCGTCGGAAAACTGATCAAGGAATTCAGTGGTGACAACCGTTTTGCTATAGTTCAGCTTCTAATCATACTTATTTTTTCAATTTATTGTATACAATTTTATCGCAAAAAATGCCATATCGACTAAAAAAAAGAGAGAAATCTTTAAAAGCAGAGAGCAAGCCTAGCAAAACGGTTATCATCACTGTATTCCTTGGCCTCGAATTAAGTAAGAATTACCAGTTTTCCGATGGTTAAAAAAAAAGTTAAAAAAACACACATACAATTACTATAAAATTAAAACGATATTTTTATATATCTTATCCTAAATTAAACGACAAATTTAATAGTGCCACAGTAAATATATCATTTAAGTTATGGTTATTTAAAGGTTTTTTTTAAAAACGTGTACATTTGGAGCAGGGTTATCATATTTAAAACAAAATGTTTTTACAAACCTTTTATAAACAGATTAAAACAAAGTGCTTAAAAAAAAGAATAAAAAGTTTCCAATGTTTAAACCACTGCATTTAGGTACTAAAATTATTTGTTTGTTGTCTTGGTTTGTCCATTTGGAGCAGTGTTAGGATGTTTAAGACAATAGGTTTTCAAAGAACGTTTTAAACAGTTTAAATTAAAGAATAAAACTTATAAAATGTTTAAACCACTGCATTTACTAAAATTATTTGATTGTTGGTTTGATTTATCGTTAAACGTAAAAACATACCTAAAAACTTTTTGAAACACAAAAAACACTGTTTGCTAACCATGAATTTAAAAATGTGTAATTTCATTAATATGCCAATAAAACTAAAATATACCCAAAAGTTAAGTGGTGAACTTTATAAAGCTTTAAAAAATGAAGAAAAAACAATAAACATATCGAAAGGCAGAAAAGTGTAAAGTTTGCTGCACGAGCAAAGCGAGTGTAGCATTACAATCTTTATATATAAAGATTGTAATGCTACACTCGCTTTGCTCGTGCAGCATATATATCGCCGCTTCTTGTCACATGATATGTACACTGTTTTTCATGACAAGCGCAAAGGAAATACGACTCGCTGAGACTGAGATAGCGAGAAAAAATCGTTTAGTGATGTTGATGATGTTAACGCATAAACAAAAAATTTCTCGTAACAACCTAAAGACAATTAAAGAAGTCTTGGCTGTGACCACCACCCGGTCAGGCTTTCAAAATCAAGTCTATGAACTAGCTTCATTCAGACTTTCAAGACCAAGCCTTGGCTCCCAAGCTTTGGTCTGTTCTTACCACCCCATGGGAAAAATGTGCACATTTTCCCAGGCCCAGAGTTTCATTACGAGTCTTGGTACAATACAACTATGCTAGGCTTGGCACGAAGGGCTTCAAAACTTGGGCCAGAGTAGTATAGAATTGGGCCAATCTTGGGCCCTTTGTTTTTCACTACATGGGTTTCTCCAGAAATCCGCTGTTTTCGCTTCTCTCAAAAGAAAGCAAAAATCCAATTTTCGATGCGCGTGTCATGAAAATTCTTCTTTTTTAAGTTTTTGACATCAACTAAATTTGATGCGTCTTGGGCATATTATAGTTTTTGGTCAGTAACTTCTGAAGTAATTTACTTCTAAAGTTGATTGTTTTGTGCTATAGCATATATTTATAAATGCAAATCTGAAAAATAATCATCTATAGATATATATATATAGATCAGCGGTTTTTAACCAACTTGTCGCGACACATTGGTGGAAGTACCTGTCATAAAGGGTGTCCCATTAAGACCGCCTATTTTAAAATTTAAAAAAAATGTCGTGTTTATTTAAAAAGTTAAGATATTTTTATTGCAATAAAGAGGGAAGACATGGAGGTTATATATGGAACACAATATCCGATAAATGGCCGCCTCGTGTCTGACGGCACACGTTGATTCTTTTGACAAAATTTTCGATTAAATTTTGGCATAGTGCCGGCTCAATTTCATGAATGACCCGTCGAATCTCATGTTTTAGTTTAGAAACTGTTCTTGGGTTATTAGCATAAAGCTTTTCCTTCAAAAAAACCCAAAAAAATAAATCTAACGGCGTCAAATCGCATGATCGGCCTGGCCACATCACATCTTCGCGGCGCGAGATAACTGCCTTCAAATTTTGTCCTCAATAATTCCATGGTTTCGTTGCGATGCATGGTCTGCTGTCTTTAAATATTGTTTCAACCGAATCTTGTACGCATGAAAATGCAGGTCTTTGGCCAAAATTCGCTGTAAACTGCTTCGAGATAGTCTCAATTGCTGGGAACGGTGGCGAATCGAGGTGGAAGAATTATGTTCAACACTTTCACTAACTGCTGCAATATTTTCAGCAGACCGAGCTGCACGAACATGGATATGTCTCTTTTTGGTTTGAATTGACCCAATCGTTTCAAATTGCACGATTATAATCGGACCACAGTACGGCGAGAAGGTGCGTTATGGTGACCAAAAAATCCACGATATCCTCAAACCGTTTCCGAAAAATTCTCACCATTTCTACTGTGGATTTTTACAATTTCTATGCGTTGTGCTTCCGTGTAAATCTCCATGACTTAACCTCAATGTTCACACATGACCACTGTCCAACAACAACGCTGTACGATTGACACAAAAAAAATGACACTAAATTTAAAATAGGCGGTCTTAATGGGACACCCTTTATTTAATCTATGTGTCTATTCTTATCTATACAATCTATAAAAATTGACATATGAGGATGTCGCGAATATGTAAGGAGTATTTTGATGCGTCAGTGTAAAAAGGTTGAGAACTGATTATCCACATTACCTATAAGCTTTCAAAAAGTAGATTTCGAATATTTACTTATTATTTAAAGCTTTTTAAAACATCTTCAAGAATTAGTAAAATATAAGAAATATAAAGGCAGAAAGACCTCGGTCAGTAGCCTTTTGGTTTCCCAATAAATATACATACTACTAAGAAATATAACTAAACTATTTTTGGCAAACATGTTTAACAGTTAATACATCAATGAAAATAATCTCGACTAGATAATACTCCCCCAAAATTTTTTGGTAATCAATCTTTGGAATCTTCTCTTTTAAAATGAAATAGTCAAAAATGACTAGTTACTACATTTAGTTAAATATCATGACATATAAAGCATAGGAAATTATATTAATTTAAATAATGGTGTATATTTGATTCAAATAGAAAATGTTGTAGTTTTATATAAATTTACCGACAGTTTTACAATGTACACTGTATTTGAACACTTTTAAAGTGCACCCTCTTTAAAATATGTATACGAAAAGAAATCTATTTATTTCATTGCGTTCCTCAACGTTGTTTTAAAAAGATATGCATTATAAAATTATTATATTAATTAAATGGGACACGCCAATGACGCAAAAATTTATTTGAATCCCTTTAAATTATTATCGTGTACAGTAGGGTGGGCCGAAAATCCGCTTTTTTAGAATTTCGTTTAGTAATAGCAAAAATTTTGTTCATTATGTTGTAAAAAAAATTTGTGTAAAAGATTAAAATTTTCGATCAACATCCTAGGCTCGCCCAACGCAATTAAAGATCAAAATGTTCAAAAAAATTTTGATACTAAAATCGGGTTTATTTCTAAAACTATCCATCTGAAGTAATTTAGTGTAAGGACCTTTTTTGTAGAGCATAAAATTTCCGATCGAATTAAGTTAGGAAAATTTTTTTTGAACATTTTGATCTTTAATTGCGCTGGGCGAGCCTAGGATGAGGATCGAAAATTTTAATCTTTTACACAAATTTTTTTTACAACATAATGAACAAATTTCTGAAACTATCCATCTATAATAATTTTGTGTAGAGCATAAAATTTCCGATCGAAATAAATTAAGAAAAATTATTTTTGAACATTTTGATCTTTAATTGCGTTGGGCGAGCCTAGGATGTTGATCGAAAATTTTAATCTTTTACACAAAATTTTTTTACAACATAATGAACAAAATTTTTGCTATTACTAAACGAAATTCTAAAAAAGCGGATTTTCGGCCCACCCTAGTGTACAGTTATTAGTGACTGCTTTTTCACTTATTCTATGGTTAACCATGAGATATCATCACAGACAGCACAAATGTCCAGTAGATA